GGTTCTGTATTCACGAACAATGCCAAGAGTTCACACTTCATTTTAAACATCCGAACAAAATACTTTTCCTTCTGGTATTTCTAGGACCGTTTAAAATCAGAACTAATAGAAATGCATTTATGTTTCTCTCTGAAGGTGTTAGGGAACTTTTTCTTATTCTGAAAGTTGATGGGAATAGCGAGAGAAGGGGCTTGGTCATTTAGGCAAGTTGTCTTCACCAGGGTCACCACGCAATGTGGCAGTCTTTGAGGCAACAAGGTCTGGGGCATGAAGGCTTGCAAAGATTGAGCTAGGTCACAAAATGTGTTTGAGAGCATTGGTAGCATTGAAGGATTCTCAAAGACATATATCTCAAAGATATTCTCAAATATCTTACAGACATTTCCTAAAGTATGCTGTTTTTTCTTGATAAACATTTTTCATTAGGTTTTCTATTTGGGAGAAGCACGTATCTGTGGTTGTAACTGCAAGCTGAAAGAACAGAAGAATTTCGTGAGCTGCTCTGTTCCAGCTGTGCAATTGCTTATGCTTGCAGTGGAAATAATTGTGCAATGTAAAGAGTGTGCTCCGGCTCCGCAAGAGCTAAAGATCTTGTCACTGTTAAGACAATTTTTTACCGCTGTCGGCAAGCAATAGTAGATGACCAAACGTACTTTTTCCAAATACTCCACTGAATTATTTGAGAAAAACTATTTTTTGGTCGTCTTGTTAATTTTAAAGGGCACTCTGTTTTAGGAACGTTTTCAGCCTTGACTTGAACTCTGACTAGCCTGAGCTAGCTTGAGTGACATTCCATGTCAGGTGCTTCTGTGCTTTTGTGCCTGAGTGAAAGGGAAGGGTGACTTCGGGCCTCTTGTTCTGTGTGTGTTTTTAGAGCATTTATTAATCAATTTTGTTAGAAGCGAAGTTTATTATTTTTTCGGTTTGACCATATTCTGTTACCTGTTTTGGACCAGTAAGGCAGGGTGTTAGAGAAGCCCAGGGGAATTGGGAAGAGAAGTTCATTTTCAGCATAGATTGGTGTTTTTTTTTGATACAAATCCTTTATTTTAAGGACAAGGGCAGGTAAGAATTACAAAGTTAAAGTGTTGGTTTGGAAGTCAAGTGAGCAGCCAAAGAAAAGCCATGTATTTGCACCTGCCCCGTTTGCGATAAGCTCTGCTACCCAGCTCCTCCACGAATCCCATGTCACTTAAAGCCATTGATCCCTTTACGTCTTTAATTTTTGCTGCCTTGCTATAGTTTCATCTAAAACTTCTGACACGAACAGAATAAAACTATTAGGTGAGGCTGATTGAAGTTATAGGGCTGAAGTTAAATCCTGTTGTTCTATGGGGAAGCGTGGTCATACTGATTAGAGTCTGGTCAATCAACTTGAATCCACTCGCTGGACTCTGTCCTTTATTATGTTTGGTTATATCTGCTTGTCTTTCTGTCAACGTGTATTTTAAGGTAATTTCTTCCCCTGGGGACTTTCTCCCCTATTCCACTGTGAATACTCTGGAAGAAAAAGGTTTTGCAAATGCAAGCAGAATCTGAGGACCATAGCCAAACTTGCCAATCTATTTGCCCGAGTTAAGCTTTTCCTGAGCAAAATACTTATCAATACTGCTGTTTGTGAGAAGGAGAAGGGGTGATGGCAGACATAGTTCTTCAGCATAACAAATTTTTAGCATATTTTTAAAGATAGGATAGAAATATAATAGATTTATTTTAATTTCCAGTAGAGAAAATGTAATTTATTGCTGTTTTTAATATCGGTTCAGTTGGATTTTTCTATCTGGATACACTTGAGATTCTTGATAAATTACATTATCTTATGAATATGGTGTGGTTAGTTAAGTGATATCTTTAGTATGCTGCAGGTCCTCATCGTGTCACATGTCACAGAGATGTTCAGACATAGGAAGTGGGATCGAATGTTCCAGGCTGAGCCTCAGATTGTGTTGATCCTCTCTTTGGCTCAGCACGTTAAGCACAAGGTACTATGCCATTGAGGCTACAGAAACAGCAGTCCCTTTAAAAGAAAAAGGGAGGTGGGGGGTAAAGATGGCGATTATCCCTTTCTGCTCTCATCCACTTGTATCTTAATTTCAGAAGCTGTACAGGAATTCAAATAGAAACTGCAAAATAGTAATTTTGTGAGTGCTATCTATCAACAGGTATTAAAAAGAGCTTGTTGCTCATTCCTTCATTTAATAGTCACTCAGTTTAATTCAGATGGGATCTTTTCCCTGTTCTTGCTTTTATTCTCATTTGTTCAGTGACTGGTTATATGGCCAGTTATGCCACAATAACAAGCTAGGCAGTATTTAAAGAAATCTAAGACAGCTATTTATGTTAGCATGTGCTAGGTGGCAAAACATTAAGAAATCTGCATTTGATTATTCTGCTTTTAGTTTTAAAAGTCCAGACTGGGTTTTTTTTTTGTTCTCTCAGTGTTAGTAGTGTGTCATCAGTAGCTGATTTGTTTATGTGAACTGAGCAGTAAAAAGCTCTTTAGAGTGTTTCTGTGCTGTATTCTTCCCAGTGTATTGTACATAACACAGCTCTGTCCCTGTGTTTGCTCGATCAGGTTTCTAAATCTGATGTTTTGAAGCTAGAGGGGAAAAACACAAAAAAGGCAATTGCTAGAGAATAAACATATCAGTGCCATGTTCAATTTAGAGCCAATCACCTGATTTCCAAAACCCAAATAGTTTGGTGTAACACTAGTGGAATGGAATCTGTCTTGTGTGGCCACTCACTTCCATTATTGAATACTGAAGCCTGTAGTCATTGGGATCTGCACAAACAGGAGGAAAAGAAGGAAAAACTGTACTAATTGCAATTTTTTATAATGTTTGATGTCTAATCTCTCCAATATATTATCCTGTTTTTTCAAACTATAGAACTGGAAACCAAGCACCGTGTATGTAGCTATCACTGCTGTAGTCTTGAATTGGGATTAGAACACATTTAAATTTAACTGAGTTGTTTTTAATCTGGCTAGTTGGGGGGATTGGAGCAGCAGCAATCAATCTGTGACCTCATCAATGGAAAGTCATAAATACCCGCATTTGTCAGCCCCTGCTGACATTGGCATGTTGTCCATTTTACCTCTGTGAAAACTAGCTGAGCATCATTACATTCTATAAAAATGCTTCCCATTTCTTTGTGAATGAAGGCTTAATTACAAATCCAGCAGGAAGGTACAGTAGGAGAACAACATAACCATTTGCATGAAACCAAAAAGGAAAGTGTAATTTGACAGCAAAAAGTATTTTATGCAAATGTTGCTGGGATGGGTCCTTTGCAGGAAGCATGGTAAAGGTAGATTATCACTAGGAATCAAATAGGTCTGGTGTAAGAAAACACATAACAGTTATTTGATCTTCTCCAGATTGTGTGCTCTAAAAGGGAGTTCTTTTGAAGTGTGCTGGAAGGTGTGCAGCTGAGAACATACCATGAACTGGGGAAACTGGTACTATTATAAGTTTTAGGCTTCTTTGTTGTAAAGTCGTTTGTATATGAGAATGATGGACTTGCTCAGTTGCTCACAGTCATTCTGAGGTTTGTAGTTCAGAAATAAATGAGACAAAATACATTTAAGACCTGCAGGTAATCACTAGGACAGACTGTGATGTGGTTCTGACAGTGCGTATCATATAGTTCCAAAATAAATACCATAGGAAGAGATAATTTTGCTTACTCCTGTAAAAACAAGATGTAGCATCCTTTTGCAGTTTGATGCTGACTGTAGCTCAGAACACCCAAGATCCCTATAAAATCCTGACAACACCCCTGAAGGTCATTTATGGAGGTCACCTCTTTTTGCCTCCCACACTCCTTAGAGAAATTCTGGTCTACCCATTCCTTCACGGCCACCCACCCGCAGATCAGCTGAGAAATCATACTTTGTTGAGAAAAACCTTTGTTAAGAATATTATTTTTGTTCTTTGTTCTCTTTCCTTCATTTGAAAGATGTCTTTTGTTCGCTGTAGTTCAAATACCATAGTTTAAAAATACATCATTTCACGGCATATAGAAATTAAAATGGAATTCGTGTATTTCAACTGAATTAAAAAAATTAGATTGGGGGCTTGTCATTGTTTATGTACGTGTATTTAATTCTGATTTGTGTTTCAAGAAGTAGATTAAAATTAGTTTAATCTTGAGCAATCAACAAACTTGAACATAGGAAGTTCCATCTTAACACGAGGAGGGACATCCTTACTTTGAGGGTGGCAGAGCACTGGCACAGGCTGTCCAGAGAGGTGGTAGAGTCTCCCATGTTGGAGACGTTTCAAACCTGCCTGGGCACTGTCCTGTGCAACTTCTGTAAGTGCCCCTGCGCTGGCAGGGGGGTTGGACTGGATGATCTCCAGAGGTCCCTTCCAACCCTGACCATTCTGTGATTCTGTAATCACAAGAACATTTTTAAGCAAGCATTTTTAGACGGGTCAACTGTTTTTTGGTTTTTGAAGCCTATAGGTCTCCTATAGGCTTCACCAGTCAAAATGCAGATGTGTTTAGAGTAAGCATTAATTAGCATTAATTCTTAAATCTACACCTTAGTATACGATAGGAATATAAACGTTACTGTAATAATTTGTCAAAAGTTGAATGCCTTTGTCTGTGAGAAGGAGCATCTTGGATCTGTGTCTGTTTATGCAACAGTAAAAGCATTACCCAGCGATATTTTGTGTGCTGTTGACATTATGACACTCTTAGTGTAACCTGCACAGTGTATCCCACGTAGTCTTTGCAATAATCATTAATAGAATTATGAATTTCACAAGGCAAAGTGCAGCGAGCATCTAGTATGGGAATCTTTCCATATGCGTACCATGTCCCCTCGGAAACCCACATGATTTAAAGCAACTGTTACCGATAGACAACTTTTCTTGTGTTTCTTTTTAACGGTCTTTGGTTTTGCAGCTGTTTTAAGTTAGATGGTTCAGAATGCATTTCTGATTGTGGTTGTTTACAAGCTGCTTTCTCCATTGCTTCCCCTGCAGGTGTTGCAGGGTGCTCAGCTGATAGCTGTTGCTTCTGCTGAGCCTGCATCAGGGGGTGTTGATGGATCCCCGCTCCAAGGGAGTGATATCCAAGTCCAATATGTGCAGCTGACACCCGTGACAGACCACTCTGCGACTAATCAAGTATGTATATATTTTTTTTTTGCCATTTGAATGTACTTAACTTGATTGAAACATCTGTCAGATGAACTATATATCTATCCACAAATACTGCAGTCCCAATGAGTTTATGATCCTGTTTCCAAGCCGTTAAAGAAAAAAAAATCATCTATAATAAGAAACATCATTTTGTTAAAGGTATCATTTTTGTTAAAGGTCTTTGACTTTGCCTGCTTCTATGTTCTTGCTCGATGTCCCTAGAGAGTAGTTATTTTGGTCATCATTGTTTTTCTGCATCCTTGAAGGCTGAGAGCCATGTTAAAGGACAGGGCAAAAAAACTTGCTTGGAATCTATCCAAAAAGTATTTTTCAGACTGAGGTTTCTCTTAAAAATGTTATTCCCTTTCTGACAGCAGTTTTCCAGTTATTTTGATCAACAGCCTGGATTTCCCGCAGGAGTCGCAATGTTAGCAATTGTAAGTGAACATTTGATCCTCTCAGTTACGGTGGAGGAATTTTTTTTATTTTTTTTTTTTATATCAGTTTGAACAGTCATGTATCTGAGTCTACAAAAAGTTTCTCATCAGCTTGAAGCTGTGACTGGTGACAACACAAGAATGCTGACTTAAAACAGTTGTCAGAAATTTTTCTGAAGATGGTTACACATTCTTCTGTGAACCCCACTTAGCGAGCTTCTTTTCTAGAGAATGCCAAGTGGTTGGGAAAAAAAAAAAAAAAGCTGTTGCTTGCTAGCCAAAATACAATGGTATCCTTAGAAGCCAATATTAGAGTGGATTTTTGTCTGATACATACCCAGTTTTGTAGAGAATTCTGATCTGGCTACAAACATTTGGATATGGAGTTTCTTGAGGGAGGGTAAAAAAAAATAAAATAATGTATAAGAAATCAAGGGAACCATGTCCAGACTTTGCGTGAATGAAACTCAAGTGCTTGGTGCTTCTTCCGTGGGCAAGGCAATCTGCAGATCAGTTCACTATATGAAGTTCGAGTGCATTAGTTACCCCAGTGGCAAAGAGGGCCCCAAACAAAAGATGGAGCTGTGTTGCATGTTGTCGAAGTGCCGTCTGCGCTGGCTGGTGCAGGTAGGGAAGCCGGAGCTCTAAACTCTCCTAGTTGCTCCGCTCCACACTGGCTCCCCACCTGGATGCTACAAAGTGCTTTTCAGAAAAATTCTGCTCCCTGCTAAAAAGGATCGGGCTGCCGGGCATGTGAGCGTGCTGTGCTGTAAGATTACATTCTAGATTTCTGTACACGGATCTTCCCGTGTAGATGAGCCCTTAATAGTAATTTTTGCCTCTTGGCTAGATTTGTCTCTGCACTAACCTTCTCAGTATTTTATAGTCACTTGTAATGGTACACTAAGCAATAAGTGTTGCTACAGGGATCTTGCCTTATTTTATATAAATCCTCAAGTACTGCTGGTCCCATCCAATTAATAAAGCATATAGGTATCAGGTAGCGTGAGGTGTTTCTCGTGCTGCTGTCCTCTCTCCAGGCCTGGGAAATGCTCAAATTTACCTCCCACAGACTTTCTCCTGGGTCTGTTCCTCGTGCCTGTCCTCCATCCTCAGCTGCCACCTCTGATGGGCAGGAGGTTACGGAGTGCAGTTCTGAACACCAGCATCCGTCTCCCACACGACTGGCAGCCACCAGAGGAGTTACTTTTCTCTTCAGGGATGCTTTGCACCATGTTAGGTTTTAATATTGTGGTTAACCGCAGAGGTTTATAAAGAGCTGAAGAGAAGCAGAAAGGGAATGTGAAATAAGAATTGAGTATGAAAGGAAAACCGGACAAGACTAAAAATAAGTTTGGCATAAATATTTCCTCAGTTTACACAAACTAAAAACTAAGGGTCTGTTAATGAATTGGAGAAACCAGCTTGGTATTTGCATTACTCTGAGTTATATGGAGAACCCAATAGCTTTTTTGGCTAAAATTATGGAATAGTCTTACTCATTTTAGATCTCTTATCTGAAGGGAAGAGTCTTATCCGAAGGGAAAACCCTGTCAGTGAGGCTGTAGTGACACTTTTGTCTGTTTTCATATGGTTCTTTGCCAGGAAGCTGAGATGTCCTCAGTGATTTTGAATCTATTTATCAATCAAAGCTTATAAAAGTGGAGTTTATTATCCACCTGGGTTTGATGCTATGTCCTACACAAATTCTGTATTTGAAACACCACAACTGTGAGTTTATTTAATGTCTGAAAACAAGGCACCAGTTTTCTTACCTTCTTACCTGTGTAAACACAGACTATTAATACATGACTACTGTTTTGCTGGCATAAAATTGCAAATGTATGGAGGGAGGCATGGTTTGAAATCAGATGCATTTGAGTGATTTATGTTTCATTGGCTTGTTTTCATGTCTCGATAGCATTCTTACTTATAGCAACTTGCAAAATTTAGAAATACAGTATGTGATGGTGACAAAGAATATTTGGATTTATTCTGTGCTCAAATTCATATGCTGGTGGTAAATTTTGTTAGATTTGGGAAAAAACTTAATTCCAAATCTAAAGTATGCTTCTAATCCCTTTGAGCAGTCTTCTGCTTCTGGTCTAAATGTAGGATAAATGTTTGGTATTGCTGTTGTCATTATTATTTGATAATTATGTAACTTCAACACAGTTTTACGCTAATGGGAAAGAAAACTTTGATAGTCGCTTGAAAACTTAGCTGCTACCAAATTTAGAAATCTGATAGCATCATTCACCACTTTGGTACTAATTTATTGAATGTTTAAGTAAACCCTAAATTACCTATGAAGTTGAACAGAAAAAAAAATAAATCCTGAAGCTGTGTGCAATTACTGGCAACAAGGCAGAGAGGAGAAAAGAAATGATTTGGCAACAAAACCTTACTTTAGGAGCAAGGTTTTATAATGTTGAACTTCCAGTATTTTCAGTTGAATAAACAAGTTGTGACTGTATAGTAAAACCTAAAGGATTGGAAATCTAGTTGAGCTTCCGCCCGTGTGTCTTTGTGTATCATCTTGCAGGTGCTAGGCTGAGAGCATAAAGCAGGGCTTCAAGTAAGACTGTTTCATAACAGAAGTACTGCCACAGAAAAAATTCTGTATCCAGGGCGTTACATAAAGCATCTATTAGATGAATTTATGGAGGGGAAAATCCATCAAGGGCAGATCTCTGGAATCTGTGGGAGTGTACAGGAAAATATCATTAAACGCTTGCCCTTTTCTTGTAGTTTATCTGTGCTTGTGATATTGGCTGCTATCAGGGGAAGGCTTATTGGGTGTGATGGATTTTATCCAAGCCAATACAGCTGTTCTTAAATGCTATTCATCTTATAGCTCTAAAGATGGAGCTTCTTTCATAATCCAGTTTTTCTTACTCCAGCTAACTTGGCTAAAAAGTTTTCTATGGGATTATCTTTTCACAGCATTGTCAGACTACTGGGGAGGCAGTAATTTAATTTTTAAGGAGACTTCCTTTGAAAGCTTAAGTCAATTGTGTTTACTTTCTTTCACGGAGGACTATTTTTGCTTGGAAAGTGAGTAGAATCAGGCCTGTAGGAAGAATTTTATTTGAGAAAAAGTTCATTCTAGTAGTGCTATTCTCATTTTACACAAAATAGAGAAAGACTGCAGTGGGTAAAGTCAGCAGTTTTAGACCGTATCCTGCACCAGCTGGGGAATTTCCAAGCACAGGGCAAACAGGTAATTTTACACTCCTTACCTGCAACAGTTCTGTCACTCCGGGACTTCCTGCTGTCTTTTCTATGATCACCCTTGGTGGACTTTCCTTCCAGAGCACTGTTCAGCTCTGTACCCCTGAGCTGTCAGTACACGCGTCGTGCTGGTTCAAGCCCTTCCACAGCTTCGGCACGTGTTGTGCCAGACACGACTTTTATTTTGTTTCTTTTTAGAGCTGGTTCTTTTTTGGGAAGAGAGAGGGAATAATTGTTTTCTATTTGCTCTCTTCATGCCACTCATGATTTTATAGATCCTTATCATGATTTCATTATTTCAGCCTTCTCTTTCCAGCCTGAAGGGCATTAGTCTACTTAGTCTTCATGCGGACTCTTTATGTTATTTTTGGTGCCTTTGTAAGTGTATTCCCATTTCAACTCTGTCATAGAGCTGATATCCATGCAGTTTTTGCACTGGTATGTACACGAACTTCATATTAGTATAATATGTTCACATTCCCTTGGCTACACCAGTGGAAAGTACTTCTGTATTGATTTACTGATTCCATCTTTCCTTTTGCAGGGCACTGATACCCTTCAATCAGCAATCCAGCCAGAAATGCAGATAGAACATGGAGCGATCCAAATTCAGTAAGAGAATTGTGAAAAGCTGTGTCGACTGAGATGTCAGCGAACCACAGTCAGAAGTTAAGTGCTGTAGTCTTCATGCAACAACAGGAGGATGGAAAAGCCTATTAGACTCATGGTCACACCTCGGACATCTCCTGCAAACAGCAGGATGATCTGATGATCTGGTTGTCCTCACCTGGAATAAATCAGACCCATTTACTTAAATTGGAGCTACATCACTACATCAATTGAGGATCTGGCCTTCAGAAGAAATAAATGGTCTGCCCTTAGGTACACTTAGGGAGGAAAAAAGTCTTTCAGAAAGAGGGAAAGAAATCTAATGAATCAAAACCGTGAGACTAAATTAATGTTTCATCCTGTTCATTTCTTCTGTGAAATACACCATTTGAATGTCTGCAGATATCTTAGGAAGTGTATTGCTGCTTTGCAATACTTGCTTTACCACAGATAGAAGATCAAGAGCTCAAATATTTTTCACTGTTTAAACAGCTTTTTTTTATTTGCTATGGTGTTTATAACAAAAATGGAAAATATTTAAAAAAAGAAAAATCCCATAACTGCAAGTATTAGCCTTTTGCTGGTGTTTTCTGTTCAGTGTAATGAAAAATGTATTTGCAGAAGACTAACAATTTTGTTTGTACTGTTGCTTAACTACTTTTCTAGGGGAAAATGCTTTTAAATGCTGTAATTATGCATTTCTAATGAAAAATAAATGTGTATTTATGAATAGTGCAGCTCTAAGTTGCTCTCTGCCTTAGGAATGAATACGGTTTGACCGGACTGTGATGTAAGAGGGTAGTTCTGGAGTATTTGAAGACAGACGCTATCTGGCAAGCTCTGCTGTCAAACTGAGAAGTAAGATTAAGTCTATAAGGACGATATCACTCTTAGATCATGTTGTTATCTAAATTTCCAGTGCAAGAAAAATGTGATAGTTAAGCTTTTAAGTCTGCAAATCCTATTTTATACAATGAATTTATGAAATCATTTTTTAAGAACGTGAATGATTCTTCTGAGCTCTCTCCCTTTTACTTCCTCCTGCCTCCTTTGTCCCACCATTTGTGGCAATACCGCTGCTTGGGATTCATCCATAAAAAGCTGGGCTGCAGAAGTCTGATACCTATCTTGTTATCCAGCCTGCCAACAGCAAGGTGAAATCCTCTCCCCACTGAAATTTACGGGAAGTTTGATGCCAATTTCCAGAAAGCTACATTTTCATATTTGCTAAGCTTGAGTGGAAAGGATACATGTTTGCTGTAACCTGATTATCTTAATGGTGCACGTTTTAGAAAAACACAGTTTACTGGGGGAGGTGGTGCTTTGTATTTGTTTTTAAGCTGACTTGCTATATGGTTATTGTCAATATATGGCTCATAATGCATTTAATGTATTAATGAGTGGGACATAGCCACAAATTCTACATGGTTAAATTCAGGATAACTTTTTTTTTTTAAATGAAAGGAAGGGTTAGGCACACCCAATTTCTGGGAATGTTGTCCCTGGTAAGTATTACCCTTTATGTAAATTCCTACTTCTCTTTAGGATATTTCTTGACGCACGAGCACAATGCATACTGAACCACAGCTTATTGAATACAATGTTTGCAACAGGCCAAGAATTTGGCTACTCTTCAGTTTCTTTTTTTAATAGTGCTTCTCAGACTGAGTGATGTTTGAAGAGCTTGGCATCCAAATAGAAGCCTAAAAATAAAGCAAGGCCTGTACATTTTAGCATGGCTGTTTAATAATAATTTATCGCTTGCAAATGACAGTGAGAAAGCTGGGATGGCAAAGCTGCTGTGTGCTATTGCATACCACTCTCTCGCTATATTCATATTGGCCATAGTGGCATTCTTGTCTTCTTCAGAAAGTTTTACCCAGCTGCATCCTGGCCATTTTCTGCTTTCAAGGGGAACACATGTGCATTTAAACTGTAGGGTATCTGTCTTTGTTTTATGGTGCAAGTAAGAGTTCTGTTGTCTTTGCATTTTTCAGCTCAGGTACAAGATGAAATTGAGTTCAGGAGAGATTTTCTTTAGCCACTAGACTGCTGCATGCTTAAGTCTCTTCTGCTAAAAGTGATTGTAAAGGCGTATCAAGCAGCAAAGTAGCATTCACCAGATTTCAAGAGGATGAAATCTACTTCACCAGTGTGGAATGGAGAGTGTACAAATCAATTGAAATAAATAGGTAAGGAGAGCAGCTTAGTAAGATCCTCCACTGCATCCAGATGTTAAGACTGCGTGTTCCTCAAGATGTGAATTTTTCTCAGCGTTATGTCAATGTTTACATTAGTCTAAGCTGTGTCACACTATGTTTATAGTTCAAAGAAAAGAGACTTCAACATTAAGCCAGGTATTCCTATGAGTAATCCCTGTCCCTGTTCACTTTCTGTAGATTTTACGTCCTTGGAAGATTTATGTCCCTGTCCAGGGAGGAAATGTCTTCTCTTCAAGAATGTTTTATGTGTTTTCTAGACATCACAGGGTGTGTCATGTACAAATAAGTCATTCCCGAGAAGACTAATTCAGGAATGAATTCCCATCTAGGAAATGCTTGTGACTGTGAAGAGTCTGTGCAGTTCTGTTCAAGTGTGAAGAGTATGTTCGTACAGAAGTTATTGTAGCAATAACATGCCAGCGTAACAATAAGAAGTCCTAAAAGTATTATAACTCAAGGAATGAAAATCTCGCCGGGGTGCTGAGGGTTTTGCCTGGCTCTCTGTTCAGGTAGGTTGGTGTTGTTTCACCATGGATGTAGTTCTGCCCTTGAAGACTTTTTTACCGTTTTCAGTAGGTCAGCTAGAAATGAGTTCTTATTATGTCTTCTTCTGTTATTCACAGCCTCTGCCTTTTTAATAAAGAGGTTCTTTTCCCTCAGCAAACCATCTGACATCCTCGTTTTTAACTATAGTTAAACACAGTTATGGCTGCATAGGCAGTATGGTACCATTATAATGACCTTTCAGATCTTGAATCCCACCTGAAAGACCGTTCATGTCATGAATTCTTAAGGGCTTCTGTGGCCCTGACCTAAGGACTAATCAAAATGTTATGGTTTGATGCATTGTACAACTAAAAATTGGTCTAAAAAAAAAGTGAAGGATGTGGGTTATTTCTTTTCTGTCTTTTTCTTTTTCCTTGTTAGTTTTACATATTTTGTCTTGCAAAACAAAACTATAAAAATGAGCACCCTTCTGTGACCCAAATAAACTGGAATGCCTTCATTAGCTGCATTTTTAGCCATTTCAGTATCGACAATTTGCCTATAAAGCAAGGAACGCTGGCCAAAATGTTGCTCTAGTGCTTGTCTCCTTCATGTAGATCCTGGCATACGTACGGGTATTCTCTGGTGGTCCTGTATTTCATTATCTGCTTCACAGAACTGCTATGGAGTTTCATGTTAGAAGATACAGTAAGAAAACCAATATCTAAAAAAACCCCCCAAAATCCCTGTAGAATCGCACTCTGCACAAACTTCTTTTGACAATCAGTATTCCTTCTGAAACCCTAATTATCTAAGTACTGAAAATTTAGAGCCATAACCGTAATTCAACAAAAACTGTTTCCCATTATCACAAATAAGAAGGTTGCTTTCATTCGCTGCAATCCCAAAGCAACTCTATAAGCTCTGCTGATTTAGGTGAGTACTGGGCAGTCAAACCTCATTTCCTTGAATGAAGCCGGTAATAAGAAAGTCATTCACTCAGAGTAGTGTTTGGGGTAAACTGAGATTGCTTTTTTAATGCGCTGGTACAAATGCACATACTTGATTCCTCTGCTAAACAAGGTTTGACGTATTTAGAGGTTGTTTTATACCCCACAAAAATAGGAGCAACGAACCGTGCAGCAAGTGGAGGCAAGAGGAGTTGTGCAGAGCTGAAGTTAGAGCTGAAGTGTGTGGGATGCAATTGACCACGTGCAGTTTGGACAGGGCAACACTCATCTTTCAAAAGGTGCCAGGGGATTTTTAATCAAGTCGTGTTCTGTAGCATGATAAATTAGATGGAACTGGATGAAAACCTATTTTTCCTCATCTACAACTTCACATGCAAAGTTCAATTCAAGAGCAAGTGTCTCCTTTGTTTGACGTTTTTTTCCTTTTTTAAAATTTACGTTAATTCTACTTTTGAAAGCTTTCTGATGTTTGTTTCCTATTCAATTTTTTAAAGGATACATTTTGCAAAGGAAAAATGTCCTTTAATGATATTTAATAATTGTTTAAATAATAATAAATGTAATACTTTGGGGCAGAAAATTATATTTTTAGGATTTTGGTAATCAGCATGGATATTTTTAATTGACCAGTAGACAGGGAAAAGTTTTGTTCTTCCAGTCCCTCAGGTTAACCTGTGGTTTTTGAATGTTTAAGTAAACTGTCCAGTTTCATCTCTGTCCATCAGCTTGGGTTAAGCATGAGTTAATGTATGTTATATAATCTTTCAGTAAATATTTTATTTCAGATTTTTCCTACTAGTTAAAGGAAACTTAATCCGGTTGCGAAACAGATCAACAAAAGCCTGGATGGAAAGCGGAGTTTAGCCTGACATCTCTCCATGCTCCACTGTGATTCCAGCTTTAAGGACAGACTGTTCATTGTCCCTCACTGTGCCACGATCTCGACATTTATGGTATTTAATTTGAAAATAATAAATATCCCTGTTTTTCACAATGAATCCCTGCTTTTCTTAAGGAATCTTTGGGATTTCTGTTTTCAAGGTGCACTGGGGTTTGCTTGTCAAACTGTTCAGTGCGTCATATCAGGCTCTGAGAACTTAAGCAAGTACACTGAAATCAAAGGGACTTTACTCTTTTGTTATGACCACAGGGAAAACAGATCTCCTGTATATATATTTAAAGTAATTCAATTTTTAATTGATGAACTATATATTAAATTTACCATTGGCTTTCTGGATAAAGCAGAAAAAAAATTGGGAGCTGGCCAGCACCATTTGACTAGCTGAAAAGTGCACTTCAGCTTGCTTGATAGGTGTATGTGTATGTATTTATATATGGCCATCCTGTTGCTCGAGTTTGCATGGGGTTGGCTCCCGTCCTATTACTTTGGTCCTAGAAGTCACCTCTCCCCTCTCCTCACTTCCTTCTGATACCTTTTTTTTAGACTCCCACTTCCATAGCATTTATTTTTAATCTTACGAAAAACCTAGATCCATTTTGCTGCTTTGATCTTACCAGAGGAGCTTGGCTGGGCACCTCTGATTAGAAAGAAAAAAAATGAGAAACCCTTGGTCTGCTGGATTCTGAATTCACAGAATCATAGAATGGTTTAGAATTGTGTTTAACAGAAAAAAAAAAAAAGAAAACAACAAAAAACAACAACACAGTTATAGACATTACCTGGTGCAGAGAGAAGTAGCTCTCTTACTTGACTTATTTGTTACAAAAATTGCCACAGTTGGAAATTCTGTGTCTGCCATTAATTAGTAACGTTTTCAGTTTAGTAACCAGATTTTCGGCTGCTGTTCCCGTGTGGTAGCAAAATTAAAGCTGCTTTTGCAAGCACTCCGGTGAATACATGAGGAGGTGGTACTGTG